ATGCCTCAAATTCAGTCACTAAAGGGAAATACTTCACTGAATACTAGCAGAAGATGCACCATTTAAAAGGAAGAGCATTGCTCAGAAAGGCTTCTGTTTCTTCATTCATGCTGCCTGTGAGAAACTCTTAGATGGGATGGCTTGATAATATGGCTTTATGTAACTCTTCCTTGGCATAGGTAGAGCTGAGGTGTATTAACTCTTTCCATAATTTCAGACACTGCTGGACTGAACACATGCTGCTCCCAATATCTTGCGAAGTAGTTTCTGACAATGGCATTGAGTTCCCCCTCCTGCACAATAAAACAGTTGATTTTTTGATTATGTCTCCATGCCCTAGTTCACTGACTGACACTGGCATTATATGAGAAAGGAATCCAACAGATAGAAAAGGCAGTAATTTGGCAGATGGAGCTATTTCTGAGGAGTAGAGTTTATCACAGAATATTCAGATTGGAAAGGCGGTAATTTGTTGTAATGCCAAGGAGTGCAGATTCACATGCTAAGCTGGGGCTGCAGTGCACTTGTGCCCTTGTCCTCTTACCATCATCTCTTCTAATAACAGAAGCATGAAACAGTACCATGGGGCTCTGGAGCTGAGCTGGGTATCCAAAATCACAGGCCTCCTCTGCTTCCAGTTGTTCTGGTTGAAAAAGCTATAGCTACTAATTGCATATCCCAATGTTTTTTTCTGGAGGTGTTGGACCTCCTGACCCACCAGAGCTCAGTGAGCTACTTGGACAACCATTCCTTAGTATGTCTCACTTCACAGAGGCAGGGTGAACTGCTTCTAGCTCTTAGATAATGTCTTTGGTGACTTAGATTTTTCTGACTTTCGTCAGCAAGAGCATACTTTCATATGCTGGCCACCTAGCAAAGTTGAGGGGTCTGCCATAATGTGATAGCACCCTTTGGGGCAGAAGAGGTGGTAAGAGCAAGACCTTTGGTGTTCTGACAGGCCACTTAAGTTATTTTTCACTTTATAAGCCTCACCATCCACTTTGGTCACCCTGGAAGATAACTTGGCTTTGACCCATTTGTGGCCCTTAGCACTTCATCCATCTGTGTCACTTTCCACTTTTTAATTTTTTTTTTCATCTGTTTAAATTGAAAACATCTCAGAAGAAGGTGTTTCTGTTTTCAGGATGCCAAGCCAAGCAAAACAAAGCCCAAATCTTGTTCAGGTCCTTCAGTTTCTGCTGAAATAATTAATGAGGTTTCATGTGAGCTGTTGCAAAGTGCCTAGAGATTCTTAGATTGGCCTATGCAGTTGCCATGGTGCACCTTGGCCAAATAGTTGTTTGTAAAGCAATTTTGTCTCTAATATAAAGGCACAGTTAAAAATCAGTTCCTGTTATTTTTTCATAGAGAATTTTCCATCCAAACTATAAGCTTAGAATTGCTGACCTTAAACACTTCCAGATAATGATACATATTCTTCCAGGTAACATATATCATTACTTTTGTCAAGCAAAGCTTAGTTCAGTGCTGTAGAAATATTATGCTTTATTGGCCTCCAGCCAATCTGTTAATTACCTGCTAGTTCCTTAATGCAACTGAGGCTTTGTTTGATTTCAGTGTAAGTTATTAACTTGCTGGTAAAGGATCAGTACCTCATAAATTGTTTCCCTAAATAAATAACTTTACAATGCTACAGAAGTTTTTTGTTTTGTTTTGTTTAATAAATAAGAATAAATATGTGGGGGACAGCTTTAAATTGCAATTATATAAGGTAACTCTTTTGATCTGAGATATCAAATAGTAGCACCATATCAATGTGAAGAACATCCAAGTGTCATAGATCTGTTACTCAGGCACCTTCCTTTCTTTGGGAGGATGTCAGTACTTTTACATGTACCAGACTGATTGAAGACTGATTTGTTTTTGTCCTAGGTTGGCTATATGATGCTTATATCCCCAATTGTCTGTTCTGTTTATGCTGGATAATAAGTTTTGCACCTTTAAGACTTGTTCCAAGAGCAAAGGGCTGGAGAGAAGATGCTCCAAGTTTGTTATCAGAAACTGCACTTGCTGCCCTGCATCCTGCTCCTGGGCTGTGCTGTCTGCAGACAGACAGACAGCAAGACAGAGCTCTCCTTTGCTTTTTAGTTAGTTTTAGCTAGCTGAGGCAGAAAAATTCCCTGGACTGTGGCTTTTCTTTTTATTTGGACCTGTCTACACCTGCTCTGAAAAAAACTCAGGAAAGCACCTCTGGCCCACCGGGCTGGGCCTGGGTTGCAGCATTTCCAGCACTGGAGGGACTGATAAGAGACTGCGTGAGCTGAGCTACAGCCCACGAAGAAGACTTGCTGAGTTTGTCAACTCTTTGAAGAATCAAAAGGTTTTATTAATATTGTTCAATTTTTTTTTGTGCTGGTGAATGCTTTGCCTGTTAAATAAACAGGTTTTTTCCACTTTTCTTCATGGAAATATTTTCCTGAACCAATTAGGAGAGGGGGTGCTTGAATCTGCTTTCTAGAGGAACCCTTTTAGAGATTTTTCTCCTAAATTCACCCTTAACCAGGACAGTTTTGTACTGCTTAGTTTGGTTTGGGTTTTTTGGTCATGTTGTTTTAAATTTGTAAGATCAGATGAAGATATCTTGGGCCGGGCTTCACTTGTGTATGTCCATTGAGAGAATATAGGCTCTGGCTGTGTTAAATTATTTGAGACCAATAATAGATTTTAATCTCTTTTAATGTATCTCATCCCATTCTTTTTTTTTTTTTTCCCAGAAGTTAAAAGCTACTTTTTCTTTTTTTTTTTTTTTTTTTAAATGTGGGAGAATAGATGGAAAACTCACCGTTTTCAGAAGGAAAAGGCTGTGACTGTCTGCAAATGTCTGGGAAACATCCTTTAAGCAGGTCACGTACCTTAGTTCCAGGCCTTGCTTAGATGCCTTCTATCTGCTAAATAAGCCAGTGAGCAGGATAGCTGACTTAAGGACAGGTATTACACACTCTTCTTGCAATGGGACATTACTGTGTTCTGTGTGAGCTGAACTCCCTGAGAGAACAGGTATGTCCACGTGAAAGGAAGTATATCAATACATTTTCAGCTGTAACCTCAAGTGAAAGGAGAAGTTAAAATCTTCAAGTCAAACACAGCAGGCAAAAAGTAGTGTTCTTGTCTTGTGATTTTGTATTCATCAGACTGGATGAGGCACTTGCCTGAAGCAGGGAATCACCATAGTAAGTGGCTGGCAAGCTTCTAGAATAATCTAGAAATTTCTTCACCTAATAAGATTTCTCAGGATCAAATCTGCTTGACCTTGGCTTGTTAATATGGGTTTGGGTGGGAGCTGTAAGGAGTGGGTGAAGTGGTGTAAGGGTTCAGAGAAGAGCAAGATCTGTACAGGAAAATCTGAGGGCAGTAGTCCTTGCCGTGGTAGGTACTGGAGAGAGCAGGAGCAGAAGTTGTGCTAGAAACAATACAAAGGAGTACATTGCTTGTTCTCCTTCTCATGGCTTCAGCCTGAAAGAAAAAAAACTGAGGTACCCAAAGTCACCTGTGGTGAACTGTAGCTTTTGTGTTGTCCTGCTTCCTTCTTTCTCCCCCCAGCTCCCCCAAAATATCCACAACCAAGGTCAGATGGTACTGCACAGTAGATATTAATTTACAAACACTCCCTGTGGGAATTAAGCACCCTCATAGGAAAGAATGACTTAAAGATGAGAGCAGCTATAGAGGTGAGCTCTGTTGTCCCTATTTGTATAGGCTGGCTAAGTAGGGGGGCAGGTAGATCTTTCTTGGTGTACATCTAATGTACACCAAGAGGAAAGATACAGGTTTGTATCATTGCTGACATGTGGTTCTGACTGAAAAATAAACACCAACGGAAAGTGGCTCTAGCTGAAAATTGGATTCTTAGAGGCAAGAAGTGCCTGATCTGATTGTTTGCAGCTTTCTTTACTTGTCCCTCCTCTTTTTCCCTGCTGGCCCTGTGACTTTCAGCCATTTCAAGATTACCAGTCAGTCTCTCTGTGCCTGGAAGGAACACTCTTCCCTAGTGTGGAAGTAACAGCTTCTTTTATCTTATGTGCTATAGTTATCTAACTTGTGCATCTTGGAGCAAAACTGATAAAGACTGCTAAGACAAGATGGTCATTTCCAATCTTTAATAGCTTATCAGGTTTAAAAAACCTCATGAAAGAGCTGTGTGTTAGTTACATGATGATTAATAGGGAAGCTTATGAAAAAAAAGATACCAATTTATGTTTGGTTTTGTAATAGTGTTAGACTTATCTCTTTTCTCTAACTTAAGTCTGTATAAACAAAAGGATCACAAGAGAACAGCATGTCTCTGCTTGTTTAAATCAACTGGAATTAGTGGCACATGCTCTTTGTGGTCCCCAAGTTAGGTGGAAGTGCTGAAAATTATTGTGGTTTTTTTATCAGGATGGTCCAAGATTTGAAGCTAAGATGTAAACCACCTACTTTATATCAGAAGAGTCAAACAGTCTATGGGACAATATAGGAACTGTAATAAAGTTACCATTTTTGTGTCACAGGAGGAGAAAAAAGAGAAAAAATGTATTGTCATTATTAACTCTTGGTTATTTTTCTTTCCCAATTGTTATGCAGGTTGCTGTAGAGCCACCATAGGGAACTTTCTGCCTGGGTGAGAAGATAGTTGTCTTTAAAGTGCAAGTTCCCACTTGTGACAAGGTGGAGGATCCATCCATAGTTGGAGGGTGGGCATTTTCAGGTTTTTAGTACTTGCCGGTCTTGTAGTTTAAGCTGGCTGGGTGGAAAGTTCAGATATTTGCAAGTACAGTGGCACAATTAGATGAAGATTGGCACTAGTCTGATAAAAACAGTTCCAATTTCTACTTAGAGAAACAGGGAAAGCAGTCAAGTACCGGAAGCTAAAAGCCATACAAGATCTCAAGCTTATCCCCTATGCCACTATGAACAATTCATTTACACAACACTGTCAACTAGTTGTGGGGTTTTATTTATAATGCAAGTGCACTGATATTCTCTTTCTTCACTTGCAGCTGCCCTGAGAGCTTGTGCTGATGGAGGTGCCAATCATCTCTACCACATCACAGAAGGGAGCCAGGAAAGGTATGTCAGCAATACATTTGAAATCATTGAAGTCGTCTTTTCTCAATGAAAGTAAAATGTGGAGGAGCAGGATCTGTTCAGTTACTTAAGTAGCTGCTTGTTCTGTGCATGGTACTTTAATGAACTGTGGCCGGTAATATAATATTTTCTCCTCATTATCCTGAATTTTTATTCACAGCTACAATTTATAAAAACACAGGAAGCCTGAAACGCCATTTTCCTTGAAGCCCACTGGTCTTTTTTCCTCTTGAGAGCTCTGCTCTCAGTCTGTCTTATTTTGTGCATCCATCAGAGTTAGGCCTGTGAAAAAAAATGCTGTGTCCCTAGCAAGGGTTGCCTGGAGGAACATCTGATGCTTGTCACCATGAGCTGAAACGAAGTGTGTCCTCTTCATTTTTCATGTGAGGCCTTAGAGGAAATCTACTTACTTAGTGAAGTGAGATGGGTAATAAAATAAGAAGTCTTCTTTTTTGAGTTAGTTTTTAATTAGCATCAGGGCATTATAAATGACCAAAGGCAAGTACAGATACTATCTATGAATGTGTACACTAGGTGAGGAAATATGACTGAAAAAAAATGTTTTTGTTTTCTGTAATGGCATTTAGAATTGTAAAACATCCCACGTTTCTGCAGCAGAGGTGTTGAGCTGGGGCTGTGATGCAAAATATTTCATTCAAGTGATTTCTTATCATTGTAGTGGAACCATGAAATATTTTGCAAGCTTAGCTTACTAAAGATCTTTTTGCTTGTTGTGACCCTGATTTTTAAAAGTGTTAGGTTTTCTTTTATAGTTCTTTTGAAAGTTTTAAAGTTCTCATAAAACTTCTTTAGTCTTCTGATGATGTTTACATATTTGAGAGTCAGAGTTCCCACACAATTTCATGTATAAATAGAATAGTTTACATATTTCTCTGTAGAGAGAAATGATTGATTAATCTTTGGACCAGTGTCATTGCAGAGGCAGTAATTCCATCCTCCAATCCACAGTCACAGTCACCTTTGGAACTCTATAAATACCAGATGTTGGAATGAAACTGTCATTTTCTCTTGAACTTACCAAACTTCTGTATTTCATGTCCAATATCGACAGGTATTTTGAGCAAGAATTCATAAATAAGTAGTTTCATAAAAATTAATTGATACACTGATTCTTGGAGCAAAAAGGAATGAGAAGGGCATCTGGTAGAACTTACAAGCTTATGAAGAGTTTTATTCATACAGCAAAATCTGATACATAGTTTGCTTTTCATCTCATGGAAAGTGTATGATGGGGACAAGAGGAAGCTCACTTTCCTCCTCTCCTTCAGAAAAAAGGCAAGAGTTAGAAAGGAGGGCTGTAGTCCAAAAGTAAAAATAAAACTAAAACTTTCTTCCTTTTTCACCTGAGGGAAGTTTATCTAAAGTTCTACAATGGCTAAGACCAAGACTGGAGTCTGGCACTACTGTTGTAGACTATATTTTATAACATTTGATTTGTCCTTTTGTAGTAGTTGCTCACAGAGCCATGGAAACCTTAAGCAGGTGTCTGTTTGAATTCAAGACCAACTTGCAGCAAACAGTTCTCTTTGATAATGGTAATGCTCTCCAAAGAACAACATTTGAGGGCTTTTGCTTTACTTTCTTTGGTAACCCATTCATCTGTTCTGCACATATTTATATTTGTATTAAATAAATATAATTCAGGGGAAATGAATGATTATTCTTTGACTTAATAGTTCTTTCAGTCTTACATACTTGGCCCTTGGAGTATTCTTTTCCTCTATCTTTCTTCTTCTCGTCTTAATTGCTTTGGTTGGGTATATCTTACCTTCAAAGTAGTTCTTTTGAAACAAAAAAGAGTGCATAATTTGGATTTTTGTCTTTAAAGAAATAATTCTGCTGGAAAGAATATCCATTTACTTCTCTGAAGTATTTTTTCTTTAAATTCCCTGTCCATTGTTATTAAAGAGCTGTCTGCTCAGATGCTGCTGACATACTAATAAATTTTTAATGCTGTCTTCACATTTTAAAACTATACTTTATTCAAAGCCCTGATATCTAATTGTGTTATATCAAAACCTAAAAAACAATAGTCCTTTAATTTTAGGGATATTATAATATATAAAAGATATAAATAAATAATTTGATTGATATTTTGGGCTTGATTCTAAGCCCAATTGACACTAAATTTTATGAAGAATCCTTTAAAATGGGAATTAGTGATAATACTTTGGGAAAATAATAGCTTGCAGTATGGTGCTCTTGTACTTCCTTTGGAGACAAGTTCATATTACAGAATCACAGAATGGGTAAACTGGAGGGGACCCCAGTGGATTGAAGAAGCCCTTCTTGTCTTTGACAGCCTTGGCCAGCTTTAATTCCAGATGGGTCTTGACCATCTTCATCTCATTTATACTTACTGTGACAACCTCTCTGTATTCATTCCAAGCGTCCTGACACTGATTCCATTTGCTGTGTATTTCCTGCCTACACACAAGTAATGACAGGAGTTCCTTGATCATCCACAGGCGTCTTTCCCCTTGGCCTGATTTCTTTCTCACGGGAATGCAACATTCTCGGGACTGGAGGAAGAGATCCTTGAATATCAACCAGCTCTCTTGGACCTCTATTTCCTTCAGACCTCATTCCCATGGGATTTTTCCGGGAAGATCCCTGAAGAGGTTAAAGTTAGCTCTTCTGAAGTTCATGGTTGCAACCTTACTGCCATGCTTCCTCCTTCCCCATACTGAGCTCCACAGTCTCATGGTCATTACAGCCAAAGTTGTGCCCATCATTCACATCTCCAACAAGGTCTCTGTTTACTAGTATGAGATGAAACACACCATTCCTTGTGGGATCATCCACTTCTTGTGTCAGGAAGTAGTCATCAAGGCTTTCCAGCAACCTCCTGGATGGTTTGTGCTTCACTGTGTTGTTTCTCCAGTAGATATCAGGGTAGTCAAAATCTCCCACAAGAACCAGCACGTGTGACTTTGAGGCTGCTTCAAGCTGCCTGTAGAAGGTCTCATCAACCTCCTCCTCCTGCCCGGGCAACCTGTAGCAAACACTCACAACAGCATCACCCTTACCAGTCTGTCATTTTATCCAAACTCATAAGGCCTCAACTCACTCATCATCCTCACCAAGAAAGAGCTCAATACATTCCAAGTGTTACCTCACTCATAGAGGGCAGCTCCACTACCACACCTTCCCAGTCTACCTCTCCTAAGTAGTGTATGCAGGACAACATTCCAGCCACGGGAGTTATCCCCCTATATCTTCATAATCACAGTGAGATCTGTGACTGCACACAGATCTCTGCTTCCTCTTGTTTATTTCCCATACTGTGTGTGTTGGCATACAGGCACTTTTTAGAGGTATTTGATTGTGTCAATATCCCAGAAGGGGTGCAAAGGACGATGCATAGTCTTTCTACTGGTTGTGTCTTTGGATGCTTGTGTTTAATTGAGGTATTCCCTCTTAATCCTCCATTTGCTGCTCCCATGGCTGCTGTAGTTCTTCCTCAGTGCTGAACAATTCTTTAACTTGCTTTTCATCATATTGGCCTATGCTGGTGGATGAAAAGCAGCAAAGGGTGATTCAAGAGCCTACCGCTCCATCTGTTTCCTATTTTCTCCACTTGACTTGCTTTTGTGCTAGACCCATCAAGCAAACGAAGTTCACACCTTAATTTCTATAGTCCTGCACAGGCTGCACATAGCAATGCGACTTAATGTCATGACTAAGATGTTAGCTGTCTTCGTCTGTGTTCATGGTGTCGTTTTTATGATATTTGGTTGGTTTTCCCCTTTTCTCAGAAAATCTGAGTTGCAATTATTTTTGTTTAAAAACAAACCAGTCTAAGAAAACCTTCATTTCTGTAAGTGCTAACAAGGAGAAACCATGCCAGATTTTTTCAATGATATGTTAAAACAAATTGCCTTCTGGAGCATGAGGGCTAAGAAGTGTAACCAAAAGGGTAGGATAACGTTCCCTCAAAGAGGCTGGTCCTTGGGAGCTGTCAGTGCTGGGGACATGGGAAAGGCAGGAGTGAAAAAGGACTGAATGCTCATGCTTTTTTCTCTCTGACTCTACAGTCCAGAAAGGTTATTTTCCTTGGACTGTTAACACCAGTCCCTACTTAGAAACAAGGATTACTGCTAAACCATTCTTGATTGCTAAACATTTGCTACTAATCAGACTTAAAGGTGAGTCGCTGATCTTTATGGGTTCTTCGCTCTGCCTTATTCTGTCTGCCTTGCCTATCCAATTTTGAATTTTCTTGAATCATTATGAAGCACTGCTTTCCACTTCAGCATTAGGCTGTTGTTTATCTGTATCACTGCAGAACTTGTTTCTCAACACCTTGTGATTACATCTCAAGACATTGATTAACCTGGGTGTCACTGGCTTTGGGGTATACAAAAGTGAAAATGCATTGAAAACTATCATCACACTGGAACCTTTAAAACCAGTCAGTAGTACTTGTGTCTTGGATGCTGTTTTCCAGAGAGATGTCAAATCCAATGCATATTCAGGTTTTGCAGTGTTAAGAGCATCAAATTAAAGAGGGGAGCAGTGAGCTCTACAAGATGAAGGATAAACCAATCATGAAAAAATACTGTGTATCTGGAGTTCTGGTTAGTATTTCAGACTGACTGTGTGACACTAGTTGCCTTGCCTACAGTCACAGATATCATGTCTTTCACTACACTTTCAGTTTCTCCCTGCAAACTATACAAAATATAAGAGTAGCAGTAAAGCTGGAAGATGGTAGCATTTTCTACATATTAAACATAAATGAGGTGAACTCAGGTAATGCATGAAAGTGCAGCTGCTACTATACAATTCTTCTCTGAACTGGTCATAAATGCAGGCAGCTTCAAGAAGCTCTACAGGAGTTTTTAAAAATTAGGAACAAATTCTGTAGACATTTCCAGTTGATGCAGCTGCTAAATTTCAAATACAGACCTCAAAAATATCTTTTTACAATCAACTTATATTTTTGAAGTCCCTGTCAC